ATCTCTGGGTTGTTTTTTTCTGGCAGCACGAAGCAGTCAGAAAGCCAGCTACCTGATCCCCTGGTGAGTGGGACCACTATGCCTCACTGACTTTGGCTGCCAGAAAACCCCTTGGATCAATAATCAACCATATTTAAGAAAAAACAGCAATTTGGTGCAAAACTGAGCAACCAGCTAGTTCCCTGCTGTCTCCAAGTTTTAAAGACAGTAAAATCACTTTATCCCTGCCCCAAGTTCAGTTCAGTAGGACCATAAGCTGACCCCCTGCCTCTCTTCAGCCTGTTCATCCCTTGACAGATGACTTCTGTTAGTTTCAATGGTAGCCATGTGTACTCATATGTCTGAGTATAATTGAGCTCTCTGATAGTTACCTGTCACTCCCACTGATATTCAAGCCGACTTCAGGTGCTGAGAGGGTACTCCTGACAGATGAAGCAGTCAAGGCTACTCTTCCTGATGGAGATAATAGTTGAGCATCTGAGACATAATGATCAAGTTTATCATGGTTGGGATTTTTAGTCTTCATTGATTGTCAGGGTGCTGCATAGTTAATATTTTTCATTTTTTGAGTTCTGTACCAAGGTAGCAAGATGGTCCAAACTCTTTTGTATGGAGGATCAGGTTCTGTTTTTAGGACTCTTCTTTCCCTCTGCACAGTGGAAGATGCTTAGCTGTTTGGTTTGACATACTAACAGCTCTTCCCATCTTCCCCACAGCAGAGATAGCAAACCAGATGGAATTGATGGTTGGGCCACCCTGTAGAGTACACAGAACTCAAAATAATTATAGCAGTAGGATATTTTGGTGTAAAACTACTCAACACTTTTCAGTTAAATAGAGAGATGTTACAATGTTTCTTCAAAATCATGTATTCTTTGACGTGGGTCTTATTACAGGCATGCCACTCCTTTCAAAAGTTAGCTGCAGGTAGCAGTAACTTGCTTTCTATTTCTTTCTCTTAACTTTACCTTAAAGTGAATCAGTCTGTAGTTAATGTTTGATTTCTTGGGTGTCCTGGACACCCTTATATGTGATAGAAGATAAGACATCCTCAAACACAATTTGACAGTTTTCAACTAACTATAATCTTCATTTGGCCACAGAGCTTTCTGTGAATGAGACTTTGCTGCACAGTAGAAAACAAAACTACTGAAATAATCCATTCTCAGTATTAAAAGCATTTTTCCCCTCATTATTATAGAAGAGGAATGAAATCACTGCATCTTCTGTCCAGATGACTCACATAAGCAGAGCTGGTTTCATTTCCATTTTTCCCATCGTACTCTCTGGAGAACCCCAACAATGAGTTCATGTCCATACCAAACCTGCATTAATATGAAGTCATGTGCTTCAGCTTTCTCTTCTTCTCCAGTGTTGTCTTCCCAGTCTGCAAAGACAATCTCCACTATAATAGAATCTAACTCCTAATTTCCTGTCACTTCTATGTTCCTAAGTTGTTTGTCTTTGACAGGAAATTAAACCTGGTTAGAGAATGTTTTCTTAGCCTCTATTCCATGTAATGTTTCTTGGTTTAGGACATCAGTTATTATTCAGTTTTGCTCCTACCGTAATGCTGTGAACACTCCGGCAAATGTGTGAACTTACCATATCCCTCATCCAAACTTCTCACCCACACCATTAACTTCTGTTTCTTTAATGAGGTCTTCCTGTCTGCAGAGGCAAATTTTCCATGTTCAGGACAATGACTGGAAAGCATCTGGGATGCCATCAGCTATGTCAAAGCTTGAAACTTCAAACAGATTTGTCATTTTTCCCCATAGCCACTTCCAGATCTTCAGATAAATACATGGGGAAAACTTGATCAATGAGATGGAAGGTTTTCTGTCACATACACATTCTGTGCCATTTCCTCTACCCACATGTTTTCTGATCAGTTCTTCAGGCAGGGACAGTGCTGACCATACAGAGCCAAGCCCAGAAAGTGAAATGATGTGGCTGTATTTCCGTGCATGGGTCAGGTTGGCACTGCACCCTGAAGTTCGATTGCTGAAGCCTAATCAATCAGTATCATTTCTGCCCTTTGTGTTGCCTTAAATCTATTAGCAATTTTACTGTGTTGACACATTCTATTACATCTTGAATAACACAGTCTTCAAAAGCATCTCAAGGGATTCTGCCAGTGGCTGGGTATGCCTCTTCCCTCTTATCAATAATTTGAAAAGGGTCAGTCTCAGACTGTCCTCAAATCTTTAACTATTTTTTATACTTTCGCAACTCTGCTAAATAAAATACGAAGTTTTGCCCTTGTGACAGTCACTTGCACTCTGTTACACTCATTTTCCCTTATAATGTGGTTTCCATGAGTCTGCTAGTTCTCATGCTATTGGTTGTAGACCTTCTGCATTCCCTCTTGCCAATATGACTCTTCCTCCCCAAGTCTCTTGTTTAACACCTTTCCTACATAGTACATATTTTCTACATTCTTAAAACAAATGTAGTTAGCCAGTGTGCTACACATGACTGCACTGCACAGCTCATGCCTAGATTGGCCTATTACTTGTGCAGTGACGTTTTTGACCTGAGTCCTGTAGGTGCTGAGGTAACAGTTGTGGTGTGTTGGAAGCAGAACCAAGTGCCACTGAAATCACTCCAGTAGCACAAATGCAAAAATATTTTTCTCACCAGAAGTTTTACCAATTTCCTCCTTCCTCTAAATAAAGAGCAAAGATGGGCAAGATTCCTTCAGCAAGGTTCATAGAAAACTTGTCTTTGTAATGTTAGTTTTCTTATGGTTTCAAAGAAATTAGTTGTGTTATTTGGGTGTGTCATTGCCTTATCATGTACACATTACTGATTTCCTCTAATATATGAAGCTAGCTGCAGTGTTTTCACAAGTCTTACTCAGTTTTCAAGCTTCTTTACAGGATGACATCTGATTTCTTTGCATTTTTCATATTCTTCTGTTTCAAATAAAACTTTCTTGCAAGCCCAGGCCCTTGTATGTAGAGCAGTGACCTGTACACTGTGGTCTGTGGATTACAGGTCTATGCAAGATCATCAGAAGGGGTCCATACAGCCATATCACGTAAATATAACTTTCGTCTAAGTTTAATACAGGCAGTGCACATATTGATCCATTTTCATCTGTTTGAATTTGGAAATGTGACAATGATGCACAGCTCTCACAAGCTCAAAAAATAATTGTGCTAGGCTGCTCCCAGTCATCACCATAGAAATTAATAGTTGGATTTTTCCTTCATTAACTAATAAAGATCCTGTTGAGTGTAATACTGTAACCTTGAACCCAGTGAAGTATCATTTATGTTGGAAAGAATAAAGCATCACTACATGCCACTGAGTAAATCAAATGTTCTTTGTTACATCCAGAGTCTTAATTAGAGCCTCCTTACATTTTTTAAGCAAGTTACATACCTCAATAATCTCTCCTCCTCTCTGTAGTTCTCTATAAGCTCCTCAAAAGCCAAATCCATAAATAAACCTGCTAATGTGGAAGGGAGCAATACAATCCTCTATGCATTTCAGAAACGGGGTAGGTTTGGGTGGTTTGTAATGAATGTTGTAGTACCAGAGCTACAGTTCCGGGGCCAGAAGATTAGTGTCAGAATTTATCCCATGTCTCAGACCTCTGCAGTTCAGAATCTAAGATTTAGCTGTAAGGAGATGAGGGTGAACAAACTGGTTTCTAGTTGTTGTGCTTCAGGAAAAAAATTCCAGAATTTCAGACCAGAAATGTCAAGTTAACAGAAAAGATTATGATGAGATGTGAAAGATAACCATTTTCCTCTAGAAAGTGTTTACTCTGAAACCTAATTAAAATGTCAGTTTCGTTTCTGTAGATCATTTCAACACCATTGTCAGTCCAATGTTTTTGTCTTGGAGTCAGTGACTACCATAATGGGTATGGGCAGCAATGGGAGCTCTCAGTCATTAATAAATTTTGTGGCAAGGAACTAAGAAGTCAATTATTAAAATAATCACCAGTAACACAATTCTGTAAGAAGGAAGGAAGGCAGGAGGAGGTACCCTTCTTCTTTTGACTTAGCACTTAGAGGTATGCTGGCTGCTAAAACTAGTGCAACTTTCAGTCTTCGGAGTATGAGGCTTGCTTGAACAATAGACTTGATAGTTTCAGGCATTTTTAATTATCTCAGACTCGTGAAGCGCTGTTTGTCTACTTCTGGGGACTGTGACACCTGACCTAGGAACTAATCACTGTAAAACACTCAGCAGGGCTGCGTGTTAACAGCAGCAAAGATGGCAGGCACAGGGATGGGGAATTTTACATGGCCTGCCACACTTTTTTACCTCCCAGAAAGACATTGTTTAGCCACAGGATGACTTTTAAAATCTCAAGGCAAAAACGTTAGTTACATACCTGAGCATAGCAGAGCTACACTTTGAGGCTTGATACAAAAAAGATTAAGCCTGAGAAATGACTGGTCTATTAAATAGAAGTGCTTGCATTCGAGTTGTGTATGAAGTGATCTCTGTGTATAGTTTATGTGCATCAATTTAAGTTTGGATGGCAATTAGGGTTATTTCAGGGTGAAAGGTATGATATACATGAAAGCTGCTTTTGTGGTTGTACTATTAAATAATACATTTCTATCACATAATGTAAAACATCCACTGCTTTATTTACAGTTCTTCACTGCAACCATATTTTACTGTCATGAGACATTCCTTGACCAAAAATGTTGTTTCTAATCACATAGTAAATTAATAAGATTGAGTGACTACAGTCTAAACCTTTTTTAAACTAATCTAGTCAAATATGTGCTACCATAACTAGGCCATAGCAGTGTGTGCTGCCGTGCAAGAGACTAGGGTTTAATTCTTGGATTCTGCTTCTCACTCCATGAGCAGGAGCTAGGAGCACTCCAGAGCTGCAGCCTCAACCCTGGGAGGGATGGAGCCTTGTGTCATTCAACAGCAGTGACCCCCACTGGCCAATTTAAGGAGAAGCATTGAGGGGCTCTAAAAGGAGTCACTTCCAGTCCTCCTCAGAGGTTGGTGGTCATTGCACGGGAACTAGTGAGTGGAGGTTCAATGGGGTGCACTCGGTGGGGTCTTCAGCTTTCAGTCTGAGGAGCAGAATCCTCTCTGGGGAGGAACCAGCATGGGCGCTTCCTAAGGCACTATTTTTGCCTGACATAACTATTAAGGGGCAAGATTGTCAAAAATACATATATTATTTTTTCAAATGTCCTGTAACTAATGCTGTGATGTCTCTCTTTTAAATAGAATGAGGGAAAACTCCACTAACTTCAATATAATTGTAGTTTAATTCCCAGAGAGAGAGAGATATTCAGTAACAAGTGCAAACTGTCCTCTCAGTGGGTGTCATTATCCTACAGGAATAATATTTGCAGAGAATCTGAGAAATTAGAAATGGAAATGCTTACAAGGTCATTGAGCATCTCCCCGCTGATGCACGAATGTTTCCTGCTGCAGATTGAGGTTTTTCCCAGCCCAGTGTTAGGTGACCTGAGCAGCAAAGCTAGCACTGTGCCAGTGGGGTCATTAATCCACGGTTCCCAGTAACAGGAATATTGTCTTAGCAGTGGGGGTAACATTTTTGTTTACTTAATGTCATCTTAGTACCCTAGTTTACATCTCATCGGATTGGCCTATAGCAATCCTCTTCCTTTCGACACTTGCAGCTGTTGAGCATGTTTCCCCCTCCCAATACATATTTCATTCTTTCACGTGGCCTCCCTAGCCAGCCATTCTAGCCCCGTAGTGATTTTTTATGCGCTTATTTAAGCCTCATCCAAGTTGCCGACCTCTTGCTGGTACGGCAACGGGCAGAACTTGAGGTCCGTGCTCAAAAGCATTGAAGTAAGAGGAACTGTTGCCACCTGGGTCTGTGATGCTGTGTTTCAGTCACTGTGGTCACTTTCCCCTGCTGTATCACGCTGCACGCCAAACCCAACTCGCTGTCCTCTGCCAGGTCTCTCTTGTCACTCCTGCTCTCGCAATACAACGGGGTCAGGTCCGACACCATACATTGTCTGTTGTTTAGAGGGATGAAGTGCATTAGGATAAACTTTTGGTTATGAACACCTTTGTCTTTTAAACTTTGATGTTGCAAAGCTGTGTGTGATTTTTATTTAACCAAATATTTTATGGATATATGCAGTAACAAAATATAGACAGTGCAAAGAACAAATCATGTAATAGTTTCCAACCACTCAAATTTTTCACATAGCACAGGCTGAAAATGTGATATAAACATTCTTCTGTACCATGTCAGCCTGTGCTGAGGGATATGGAGAAACAGTGTAAATACCTGCAGGCAATAATTTGTATTATTTTATGGTGAAGGAAGTACATACCTGATTAAAAAGAAACCTTACTGAATGCAAACATTTGTCTTCTGTTTCCTTTTACAAATGCTTTTACATTCATAAGGAGGAACACATCCTTTAAAACATGAATCTGTTGTTCCCTAGGATTCCTGGGAGGGCTTGTTAAATCAGCAGGTACAAAGGTAGACATCTGGAGTTGCTGCACTTGTACCAAGCATTAGCTGATGCCCTGCCACCTGAGCTGCACCAAAAGATGCATCCCACATATTTCTGTAGTGGTTAGCACAGCAGCCTGATTCTCCACTGAAGAGAGAGCAGGCGAGCTCTCTGGCTTTGCACCTTTGCTTTCCAATCTCAAGTTTGCACCTTTCTATCCCATGCTGGTTAGGTTTTTTGCAGCAAATCTGTGATGCACTGGAGTACAGTAGGCGGTTTACTTGTTTTCATGGAAGGACAATTTGTACTTAAAGCAGTGATTAGATGAATTTTTTTCTTTCTTGCATGCTTCAGTTTTTGATGACTACTAGCTTCATCAGTGTAATTATAATTAGCACTCTTCATCTTCCTTTTACGGTACCAGCTGGACAGATTGGTCCTCTTACTGCACAGATTGGCGGCAGGGTTGCCTACATGGAGTTAGGTGACAGGCACCATGAAATAACAGATGGTAAATTCAGGGCTTGTTGGCAATCAGCAGGTTTTTGCTAATGACTTAATTAGCTATGCAAATTGTCAAATCAGTGTGAACATTGTTTTTATCGAAAACTTTACCTAAATTAATTACCATAATTAAGTAGCAGAATGTCAAGTATATTGGGTGCGTAAAAGGGCTCGGCTGGCTATGGTTAAGAGAGTTACCATCTTTATTAGAGTGCTGTGCTCCACATCTGAGAAGTCTGAGGATAAGAAATGTGGTTTCTTTTAAAATACTTATAAAATACACATATTGCCGAGTTGCAATTGAGATGCACCCTGGTGCTTTTCCAAATATAATGGCTCAGGAAAGAATTACTGGATAAAGGTTAAATATTTCAAGCAGGAGTTTAAGGCAGGTTCATAGCCTGCTTATTTGCTTAAAATCATGCATTTTTCAGTCTACCTGCTTTTCAGTTCTGGGGTTTCTGAGATTCAGAGCCATGAGCATGCAGCTAGAGAGATGTATTACAGTTTTTCCATTTTAAATTAGAGATAAAGTGTAAGCCTGTCTTTTGGTTCCTACTATGCAGGAACTTTTAACTCTGTTGTTCAAATATCACAAAGTTAAGAGATGCAAGTTCTCTAACATGATTTTTTTAAGTTGATTTTTTCTCTCTCAAGGTTTCCATATAACAAATATTGGGTGCTGTTCACAGGATGTGATGGTGGTAGGAGAACCAACTCTGATGGGAGGCGAATTTGGGGATGAAGATGAAAGGCTTATCACTAGATTAGAGAATACACAGTATGATGCAGCAAATGGCATGGATGATGAAGAAGATTTCAACAATTCACCTGCACTGGGAAATAACAGCCCATGGAACAGCAAACCTCCTGCTAACCAGGAGACTAAATCTGAAAACCCCACACCACAAGCTTCCCAATAGGTTATTCTGCAGCAGTACCCACTGCGATGTATGTCAGTGGGTTATTAATTACTGTTTCATAGCATTCTTCAGAAACATTTAAGAAAACATCTTTCAACGGATACAGTATCTATTTCTAAACTAAAGCTATCCAATTTTTTTAATTAGGGACTACTCTTGTATAAGCTACCATATACGTTTCTTGGAAAGTGTTCACATACAACACGATACTGGCACTGACCTCAATTAAAATAATTGAAAATTAAATAGCATCTCACGGCAAATTTCTGACAATGCATTTTATTGGAAGGGGTTGGTTTTTTCCTCATCAACAATGGCCATATTTTAACAAGTCATCAGTGCTCAGGATCTCATTAACGTAACTATGTAAAACTTTTTACAATTGTAATATATTTTCTGCTTTTCAACTTGCACCGGAAATTTCTTGTTTCAGAAAAAATCAGCTTTTAAGGAAAAGTAATTTAAAGTAACTTTTGTTCTTTCTTTGACTTTTCTTTCATCGGTTAATCGTTTCAAGGATCCAGCATTTTTAATTTACGTTTAGCTGATGCCACTAGATACTCTTTCCATCGGTTACTAAAAATGCTGAAACAAGAAATGTCTTTTTTTCATCAAAGACATGAGAAATATTTTTATGTGGAAAAAGACACCCAGTCCTATGAGAGTTTATGCTTTGTAAAATTGCTGTCAATCCAGATATTTTAAAGCCATGTAATCCATTAACTTTGTGGGCAGCTTAATAAATCTAAAACTTTTGTGTTTTTATTATTGTATCTGAGTTGGCTTTGTTGTTATTTCTTTTCATAGTATATTTCTTGTATAATAATTTTGTAAAGCCCTCAATCCATTTTATGTTTTACTTTTTTTTTTTTTTAATTCTGGTGTATTTATGTGAAACTTTATAAAAGAAACTAATTTTTTCATTTACATATTAATATGTTCAACTCATCATGTAAAGACACAGTGAGTCAGTGTGTTATATAATACAACTGTATTTTATGTATGCTTTGCCAATAAGTGTGCCAATAAACTGTGTTAACAAATGTGCTCTGGTACAGTGCATTTACAGTTCCTTGCGTGCAAAAGACAGACGCCCATGTGCAGGATCACGCACCAGGGATTTTTTGAATTAGTGAATTACAAACTTTTTCCAGCAAAAAAGAGAAGTCTGTAGTTTAGGTCTGAGTTGCTTACAGCTCAATTTGGTTAGATGCTCTTTTTTTAACACTAATGATGTGTAACACTGCAGGTCAGTAACAGTGGCAAGAGCCAAGCGCAAGGGAGCGCAGGGCACCCACAAGCGCACCTCCATCCTGAACTCCGCATCCCTCACCCTCCAGGGCTGGAGCTTATTGGAGCAGGGATTTCCACTCTGCTGGGTTCTGTCTGATAGTTTTACAATGAGTCCCTCAACTGGGGCTGAGAGGATTTGAAAAATTCCCCTTCTTTTTTCCCTTTGCTATCAAATCAATTGTTCACGGGAGCAAACGAAACCTCTGGACGTGTGCAGCGGCTGTGAACGCAGCCCAGCGAGTAAAGCCCCTCGGCTGAGCTGGGAGGCCCAGAGGCTCCCGCCTGCATCCCAAGCCAGCTGAGAAGCCCTGCAACGTGCTCCCTGTGTGTGGCAAATACTTACAGGGAGAATGACAAACACAGAGATACTGAATCTACACACTCCTGCCTTTTGTGCAGGGGAGTGATGTTTTGCTCTTGACCAAAACTGTACTTTTAATATTACTGCATTATAAAAGCATCTAAAAAACTCCTGGTTTTTTTCCTGGGTGACTGTATGTATACCCAGAAGCCACTCTAGGGAAATGTGTCTCCCAAGCATATCTTCATATTCTAAAGCATGCTTTTGCTGGAAGTGATTCCACCAAATAGTTTTGAAACCACCATTGCAGAAGAAATCCAGGGCAAAGCACCCTGCATGGCTGCTGGGTTCTCCAGCAGGAGACAGCTCCCTCCCTGCCCAAAGAACAGACCTCAGCCTCTGACACAGGCCCCATTCTCCTGCAAGCAAAATCCTCACTTGATGAATTTTGGCACCTATGGTAGGCCTTGCAGGGAGAGAGCCTAAGCGACACAAAAGCATATATGCTCTAGGGTAGAATTTAAAACTAAATAACAAGTGCGGACTGAGTGTATCTGCATAGCAATGCTGCTCCTTCATAACGCTTCCAGGATGTAGGAAACGGTAGGTCTATCATTCGGCGACTATATCAGCCCTGATTTTTCCATGTAAATAATTAAATTCACAATGTATTCCATTAAGGGATGACTCACTTCTATATAGCTGCTATAACATTACAATTATACACTGTAATTCTAATGTTCAAAAACACTAATCATTCATATTACATTTCCATGAGCACACTCTAAAAGGCGTTCCTTATTATTAATCTTTCAAGACTGGCACTACTATTTCAATTTTTTAAAGATTTATGATGTCATATTACTCCTGTTGTTTCAGTAAATAAACATAGGAACGCTTGAAAAATGGGTAACAGACTCCTTAGAGTGCTGTCCTTGAATTAATCTGCAAGGACACTTTCTCCATATCTCCTCAAAAGCCCTGTCTACAAGCTATCAATCCACCCTATTGTGGTTTGGGTGAATAACAGACAGAGCTAGCGGATTTTATTCATTCGCTTATTTATTCATAAAAGAAAATGTCCAAATGGGTCATCTCAGTGAAGTGGTTTGAGATGTACAGCAGCTGACCAAGCAGTCTCATCATTGCTGCTTCCTTCATCCCCATGACCTGGGATTTTCTTACCATGTTTCAAACAACATGATAAGCTCGTCAAGATGCAGCCTGTGATCCTTTGTCTTCCCTTGTACCCTGTCCGTGTGAACACTCCCTATAGGTAGAAAATTAAGGTGCAGCAAAGATATTAACTAGTGGATTTTATGCCTTTGGACTGTGGGTTGCAGCCTTTGTGTGCTCCATGGGCATCTAATGCAGAGAAGTAGGAAAGATCACAGGTGAGCTGAAGTAACACATCCATGAGAGCTGAGGCTGCAGCCTGAAGAATGAAAGCTTGAAACCAGCAATTAATTTCACTGTAATCTAATCTCACCACCTACAAGAACATTGTATCTCTCTTGGATTTGGGAGGAAATTATGTTGTTGACACTTTCCTCCGGGGAGCCCTGCAATTATTAAAAGGAGGAAGGAAACTTATCTCATGATGCTGAAATACTTTCAAAGAGAAAGCTCTTGTTTGTTTTAGCTAAATGGAGGGAAATGCTGGCCCTGAGAAGCACCCTCACAAATGAGAGGGAGGAAATTCCAGGAGTTTACTTAGAAAAGAAGAATCATATAATTAGTAAGCGACAAAGAACACTGTTAACTAAACTGGTTGCTGTTACAAAAGACTTGGAACATGCATGAACTGTAAGCACTGGTGGGTTTTGGTTATTCTTTGAATTGCTTTGGGGATTATTCTAATTCTTTTTGTACCTTGGGTCCGCAAAGTCCACTCTTCAGAGAGCTTCCAGCTCGCCTGAGTCACCAGGTGGTCTCACCAGCTGCCCCTCATGAGAACATTGCAGTTCTTAAAGATCTTTCTTTCTCCCTTTTCACAACAAGCAAAAAGAAGCAATATTTGTAGCCTTTTCAGAGAGAAGGTGTCATCAGGTCTCATCATCTTTGCATCTGTATGTATGAATGTGGTAATGTTGTAGGATAATTCAATTTGGAAGGGACCTCAGGAGGTACAGCTGGCATTGGTATGCTTGTAGCATCACAGGGCTCTGTGAAAGTCATAAATAAATAGTTTTTAACCTTGGTCCTGGAGAAACCACTGCTCTCACTCACTGGGGAAGCGTAAGCAACTTGCGTCCTTGGGGAATAGAGCAAAGTTACCCGTTACCAGAGCGTGGCCAAGGAGAAGCAGTCTTGAAGTGTGCAGAAAGAGATGGGAGTAGAGGGGCAGGAAATCACTGCATGGAAAGGCAAAATACTGGGCATTACTGGGTGTTCTCAAACACCAGGGTGGAGAGAGGTTCCTCATCCAGCCTCTGCTGTAAAACAACATTAAAGGAGCCTAAATGATAAAACCAGCCATAAGAACAGGCTAAATTTTGCAATTTCATGGCCTCCATGAAAATCCCATTTTAGCAAAGACAGGATGAAAGAGAAAACATGAATGATTGATATTGAAGGAAACCCAGTTTGTGCCTAATATATCCTGGAGAAACTGCTAATGGAAATTGAATAGTCCCGAAAATATTTCCTGAGACTGCAACTCTGATCAAGTAGTCCTATGGTGATATATTGCATGTCCAAACTAAAGCTGCCCTGGGGCACAAGTAACCCCAGCAGCTGGTTTTACTGTGTAGGACTGGATGATTTGTATGCTTTTTCTAGTTTTTTGACAGCATATTTTTATACAAGGCTAAGGCCTGCATCTTCTACTATGTAAGAGGAGCTACTGAATATTTACCATCCCATAGAACTGATGTTACTCTAGCATATCATTATGCTTCTATTAGGAAGTCTGCTGGTACCCCAGCATTGCAGAATGGCAGACGGTACCTTTAGATAAAAAGTCACTTATGGAAGTCTCTGAATTTATGGACCATGCTGCTATGTTTCGTGAGAAAAGATGAATTTCCACTGAATGTTCACAGTATTAAAATTTAGCATGTTATTTTGACAGCAACTAGTACCAGTTCTTTCAAAGGGAGAGACTTTATTGGGATCAGTGGTGGAGCGATCTAACTGGAGGAGCATTTCTTCCATGACCCTGTGAGTCACTTCTGAAATAAAAGAACTATAACCCGTACATCAAGGAATAGTTTTAATGGGTCTGTGGGCAGTCTCAATTCATAAGCACATTTTAAAACATCATTAAGCACTAAAGATGACATCAGAGAATAATGCACTTGTGCATACAGAATTAAAAACTTTATAAAAAACTTCCAGCCACAATGGGGCACAAAACCCCCAGTTCCCCAAGAAACTCCTGATTGTGCTTCCATCAACTTCCCAGGGAGCAGGATGAGATGGGTAAGCTTTGGTTTGGGTAAGTTACTAAGTGCATGCCTGATAACTTTGGTTCTGAATGCCATTACTGCACATCAGCAGGGGAATGGGCTTCAGCTGGACCCAGATAAATGCCCACCCAGTGTGCCTCTATTCCTGTCAGACACCCAAATTTAGGATCCAGTAGGTCTGTGCTCATATCTGAAGTCCAAAATTCTTCAGATTGTTTTACTTTTCTTTCTGTGTGTGGTTGTGGGGATTTTATGACGGTGGAGTTATTTTGTTTCATTTTGTTTTTAAATTTGCACTGTGATCTATGATATAAATACTTCTCAGGTGTCCAAGGTCTTCCCAGTTGGAAAGTGGCGTGCAGAACAGCCACTGCAGTGTGTGTGTGTG